GGACAGCAGGCCTGTACCACTTGCTGTAATAAGCTAGTTTGTCAATATACCTGCTTCCAAACTGCCTCAGAACGATTTCCCGACACTCTTGCCTGTGTAACAGACAGGTTGCCATGGAACACAGGAAGAACGGCATTGACACTAGTGGAATCTTTTTTGTGGAAGGGAGCATTCAGGGCTGCTGCCAAATAACCAGAAACTTTAAAGCCATCTAGGAGAAAGCAAGCTGAGATGCCATTCCTGAATAAGTGTTTAGTAATCCTGACTTCATTCTAAATGAGAGAGCTAAATGTGATTCCTGTGGCATTTGCCAGGAATATTAATGCAGATAAATGGGTGGGCTGACTGGTTCTGCTTTTGGAAAATGCAGCAAGTGTGTCAATCACTGTGGGCTTTAGCAGTTACTCTTGAAAAAGCAGCCCCACAGTATTGATACTAAACTCATCCATCCACACCTAACCAGGCTAGAGAAAGCAGAACATGTGGTTGAAATAGACAAACATAACTCCACCAGAGAGGAGAAAATTCATGATAGGAAATGAGATATATTTAAAATTCTAAAGGTGATGCGATATATGCACACCTACCAGGCTAGTCAGGCTCCTGCTAATATTTTCATGGTGAATGTTAGGGTTTACTTCATCTTTTCATCTGGGGAATAGTCATTTGGTAAAAGTATGTAGAAGAGGGACCAGCAGTTGGTGTAATGGCTATGTCGCTGGACTCCCATGTAGTCGACTACTACGATTTGAGTCCTAGACCCAGTGGCTTAAACTCATGCCAGGTGTGTGTGCATGCCCAAGATCCCAAGAGGAGAATGGGGGAGAATGGACTGCAGCATGGCCACCCCCCGGGGGCTGATTTCTCGCTTTCTGTCTCTCCATCTCTCTCTGTATTTCTGGTGAGCACACGTACCCTATAGCAAAAACCTCTCTAAAAAAGTTTTTTTTTGTAGAAGAGAATGGAAAATTGTGCCTGTTATAATCATTCAAAGCAGAAAAATGATGAAATCAGTCTTTGAAAAAGTGCTGCAAAGGATCTTTCAAGATACAATGATAGTGAATCTACTAGAAGAGGGAGGACTGTAAAGATCTCTCTGAAAGGGTGGCCTTTCAGCTAAGACCTTAAAAATGGGAAAGATTAACCATACAAAGCAAGGGGGGAAGAATACGACAGGCAGAGGAAGAAGAATGTGTGAAAGCTCAGAGGTAGGAGTTAGTTTGATGGCTCAGGAGGAAACAGGCCAATGGTTATGACACGTAGTATGTAAAAAGAAAATCAACTGTGAAAAAGCACGCATGGAGAGCTTTGTAGGTTAGGGAGAGTGAATGTTACTGATATTTTATGTGTGATGGGAATCTACTAAGGGACTTAAGTGGGAAGACATGACCTGATTTATATCAGACGATGTGTGGAAACTAGATTGAACCAGATTAAAAGTAGAAAGACGGACTATGTATGGCAGAAACTGCAGTATGCTTTCCAGTGGCCGTTTTTTCCTTCTTCCTTACTGAGAACTCCAATTTTTATTATGCTGTGCAATGAACCTAGTCAAATATTATATTTCCCATTTTTGCTGTAGATAGGCACTTCATATGTAAAAATCCTGCCTAAGGAGATACATGTGTGGGTCTACTGGGAATCTTTGAGCTAGTTTTGCTTTCTAGCTCTAATGATGCAACCTGTTCCTCTTCCTTTTTTCCTCTCTTCTCTCTTATGTAATTCCAGTCTTGAGGTGGGAGAGTAAGATGTGACAGCCGGAGTAGTAGCAGCCTTTGTAGACAATCATCTAGGAAAAACTATCAGTAACATAGAAGCCTCAGCCCTGACAAGCTTGAACCACCGAACAAGAGACAACAAACACCTAGATCTAGATTTTATTGTGTGTGATAAGACAAAAACCTCCATTTGTTTACAGTTTGTTAGAGATTTCTGTTGCTCATAGGTGGACACAGTATCCAAGATACCAAACAATTATAGCAGTTCAGACACCCTGGACTTGAGTGGTAGCACTTAAAATGAAGAAAAATGGGCAAAATAGGGGTGCATTTTTAAAAATTGTGTGTCTTATAAATGTATCTTCCATTAGGTTTTTTGTTTGTTTGTTTAATACGGTACAAGCATTCACCAGAGAGAGAGAAAGAGGGAAAGTGGGAAATCCCTTCTTCCCCAGGGGAATGGCCACGCTAAAATTCCTTCTCCTCCATTCTCTTTTTGGGATCCTCAACACACATACACACTTGGCCCTGGCTTTGATTTTTTTCAAGCCACTGGGTCCAGGACTTGAATCATACAGTTGGCCATTTGAGATCCAGCCACTTTAACCACGATTGTCACTGGCTGGCCCCAGCTGTGCATTTTTTTTTAAGAGGTTTTTGCTATAGGGCATGTGTGCTCACCAGATAGTCAGAGACAGATAGAGAGACAGAAAGTGACAAATCGCCCCCCGGGGGGGGGTGGCCACGCGGCAATCCCTTCTCCTCCATTCTCGGGATCTTGGGCACGCACACACACGCGCCCTGAATGAGTTTTAAGCCACCGGGTCCAGGACATGAACCGCAGTCGACTATGTGGGAGTCCAGCGACATAGCCATTACGCTAACTGCTGGTCCCCCAGCTGTGCATTGAAGGTAGTAACAAGGGGACTTCCTGATAATGTAGGTGTAGCATGTGAAAATTATAAGATTTTGGTCTGAGAATTTATTAGAATTGGAAGGAAAAACTAGAAGAGTAACAGGTTTTAAGATTAAAAGCAGTCGGGGCTGGCAGGTGATATGGTGGTTAAGAGCACTCATGGCCGACCATGGTTTGAATCCCAGACCTGGTGGCTTGCTTTCTCACCTTCTCTTTCTTTCTCTCTGTCCCTCTTTGGTCAAATTAAAATAAGTAAATAAATAAATAAAGTTAAATGAAATTCTTTAAAAAAATTAAAAGCAAGAATTCAATTTCTGACACTTTAAATTTGAGGTCCTTAAGAAGTATTTATTATTGTAATCTCTCTTTCATGAGATGGGATTCTCCTGACCTTCCTTCACCCCTTCTGTTACTGCTAATGAAGAAGTGAGGAGCCACCCTGCCTAGTTAGGATGCCCATTCTGGTCTGCTCTTTCTGTGCTTAGACATCCAGGTACAAGCTCCAGGGGATGAGGTCTGTGGTCTTCAGTGCTGATGGAGGCTGGGGGGGGCTCACTCTGAGCTCTAGCATTTGGAAGCCCATTATTTCAACCTTGTTTTCCAATATGGCTCTGGATAGCAATGCAATGATGATTTTTGTTTGGATCCCCATACAACTCATTTTTTTTTTCTACCTCCCAGTTGCTTTAAACTTGGGCTGACTTACACATGTAAAATGACAGGCAGGCATGCTGCATCGTTTTGGCCACATCACTGGGGCTTTGTTTTAGTAGGTGCCTTTTTTAGTAGTTATTGCCAAAGAAAACTAAGTTCTCCCCTATTCAACCCCCCGGGCTGCTCTCCTGTTTTCACTGTTAAGAGTATAGGTTGAGTTCTCCCTGCTTTTTGGAACTGTGTAGGAAAGGAATTTATTTAAAATGGATGCTGATGAACAGCAAAAAAATATAGTAATCATGGAAGTGTTCGGGTACATAGTTTCTTCCTATTCTTGCAGGAATGATCGCATTAGACTTTGTCGCCTTGCCCTCTCTTTCACCAATGTACCCTTATCTCCTTCTGCCTACTAATCCACTATTTTCTTGCGTCCCTGAAAAGCTGGTACCAATATTAGTTTTCTTCATTCTGTCCATAATAACCCTAACTTCAGAACTGCCGGACATACACAGTTGGATAGGGGGCTATTCCTCAGTGCTGGTGAAGCTAGTAAGGGGCTTATAAGGGCTGTAAGAGACAGAACAGTTCTAGTTTTACTATTCCTTTTCTTTAAAGATAGATTGGTTTCACACTGGATGTTTGGTTACTTATTAGAGCTTAAATTTGGAAATTTGTCACATGACACTCTATTCTGCTCCAAAAATTATTTTTTGAAGACAAAAAGTATCATACTTTTGCATTTAAGATGTCCCTCTTTCATCCCATCCTGAGATACACTATCCCTTGGGTTTACAGTGACAGAAGAGGTGACAGGCGTTTTGGCACATTATATCACCGAAAATACTACTTATCCTCCGAAAGAATATGCAAATCAAATATGTTTCTGTTGCCCCTGGTCCCTGCACCTGGTGGGGAATGCAGCATGGCATTGTTACGGTGTCAGTCAATGGCTTTTACCAAGCAAGAGCACATCGGCAGCTGTGATGCATTATGCCACCAAGACATTAAGCACAGACACAGACGGAGTGCCCGTAATGAAAATATACACCCTTTTTTTGAATAGAGCCCTGGGTAATTACCCTGACTATTGTTCTACAAGAAAGCCCCATTTATACCCCTTCATCAATTTAGGATCTAGACATGAAAAATTGCTGGCATTAAGCAGTTAAGGCAATTTGCTTTCCAAATGAAGAAAAGACAAAAATCTCTACTCCCAAGATGCCCATGTTGATAGCCGAAGCTCACCTCAAATAAAGGATCCTGAGCAGGAGTTTTTCTGATGGTACCTTTTTCCTAAACAGAGCCCAAGGACAGTGTGTCCAGGGTCTGCTTTCTAGTCGGCACTGGGAGGACTCATGGGTCTGTGTGGACAGCCTGCAGGGGAAGGAGGGCCGCCCTGCAGGTGTGGTATAAACTGTGGTGGGTCCAGCAGGCACAGATGCATCTGGCTGCCCTGCCCTGGTGTCCAGGCTTGGTGTTCTGAGGAAAAGCTACTGAAACATTGCTCACCTTGAGAAGTAAACTCTCAGGGCAGGGTCCGTGTTCCTCCAAGTTGTCACAGAACATGAAATAGATTATGAAGCTTGCCATTCAATATGGAGTAAAATGGGAGATTATTGAACTACTTACCCCCAAATGAAAAACTAAAAATGAGTAAACAAGAAAAAAAGCAAAATCACGGTAAAAGAGATGGCTCCCAAAATTTTACTTACATTGAGTGAGGATCCCGGTTAAGGCATTTTTAAAGTTCTCCTTGGCTTCCTCCATCTCTTGCTCATGGGTGGCTTTTTCATTCATGAGCCGGCGGACGTGGCTGTTGGCTGACTGCACCATGGAATAAAACTGGTTTGCAGAACGCCGATTCACTTCTCCCCGTTCGATCCAGGAAAGTAGCACTGTGATAGCCTCTGAAAACTTGCTATCATCTGGAAATGGAAAACCGCCAAGTACAAATCATGCCAACGTGAGAAAATACACTTTATTCTGAATCCTCTCAGAGACAGGCAATGGCCGATCCTAATAGATGTGTGTTCAGAACTCGAAACACTAGTTTTTCTGAGACTATTGCTTTTTCATCACCTATTTTCTCTTGTCTCATCTTTCTCCATGGCACCATAGAATGACCTGAGAAACTCACACTGTCCTCCACCAACTCGAGCTTGAGTTTAGGAGAGGTGTTCTAGGCATTTTAGTAATAAGGTACAGTCTTGTTCTTCTACAAAACCTTGATTTTTCTTCCTTAAGACTGACTCCAAAAACTGTTATTGGCCCATTTGGCTTCCAGTTCATTTTTCTGCTCTTTTATCAGAAATCTTATGCAGTGGTATCAGTGAGTGAGTGCTAAAATGTGGATGACAGATTAAATTACTTGAAAACTGGTTGTAATGCAAGCTATTGTTCCTGTGGCAGGTTAGAGGAATGAGTCAATTCTTGTTCCATTGTAGATCAAAACTAATTTCATTTTAGTGTTAATATAACATATTTAATTAAGCTGGAATGTGGAATATTTTGTTATTTCCCACAAAAGGGAACATGTTCCCCAAGGTGGTCCGTGTTTGCTTTGAATGGCCATTAGAAAGCCCATCTGAATCTGGTTGAGGTGCGTGTACAGGGGAAGGGGCACAGAAAATGGGGAATGAAGTTACATCTGTAAGTAAATGATAAAGTTTATTTAAAAGAAAACAAACAGAGTTGCCTGTTTGGGAATGGTTATTGGAACAAACTTACATTGTATGGCTTGGAGGTGGAGAAAAAGCAAGCTAGAAGGTGATTAAGTTAATTAGAACTGGAAGTTGTATGTCAGTTATTACAACATTAATCGATCCTACCGCTGCTGAAGGCTCATTACACTTTTCCCAGGCAAACTTCAGGGGAGGAGTCCTTCATTTGTATTTTTTTACCTCTTGGAAATGTGATTTAGGAAAAACATACTTTTTTTTTTTTTCTGTAAGTAAACTAGGTAGACTTTGAATTCCAATAACCTGCAGCAAAATTACACTGGAAGATTCTGAGTCCTCCTGTGAACCAGGCACTACCTTCTCCTCTAGATGAATATCAGATATATCCTACGTGTTGTTCATGCATGCAGTCATGTATTGCTTAACACAGGGATACGTTCTGAAAAATGTGTCCTTGGATGATTTCATGTGATATACTATACAAACCTAGACAGTATAGCCTGCTACACATCTAGGCTCTGTGGTCTAACCTTACAGGGCCGTGATCTGTAATGTTGGCAAGCAGCTCATGACTGTTAAGCCTATGTACACTCCAGATGAATAGAGAAGGTGATTTGTGTTAATGAAGGAACTTTATTTTATTTTACTCACCGTATTTTTTAAATCAACTACTGGGTTATTATTAGGACTCCATTCTCAGAGTATTCCGCAAATTTTATAGGGCATGCAAAATATGTTTGTGCCTTTTCTTCCAAAGACCTCCTCCCAGAGTGGCCCCGATTTCCTTAGCTTGGAGGCATGTGCCCTGAGGAAGGCAAGACTCAGCCTATCTCAGAGCTGTGCGGAATGTGCACTGCCTTCTTCAGGCAGAAAGCAGCTAGTACAGATTTGCTGTCCATCAGCCTACTATCCTGGGCTCTTTCCTGCTGCGGCAACAGCTTTCTGGGCTTCGTGATCAAAGCTACTTTTCCTGAGCCAACCTGCCCCCTCTACCCTCACAGTTCAACCAGAGGAGATCACTTGTCTGAGAACGCCCACAAACGCCCTGCAAGTGAAAGACTGAGTGAAAGACAGACTGTCCACCCCCAGGCATACTGCATGTGTATCCAGCATCATAGCTGGCTTGTACGATTTTGTTAACTCTGGAATTCCAGTCTAAGTTCAACCCTCAGTGAACTCCAGCTGCAGTGGTTTCTTATCTCATTTCATGGACTGAAGCAGCTTGTATAAGATAAAATCCATCATACAACTTAACATTACGTTCAGCCCATGGAGAGGCCCATAATTTAGCATTATGTGTGTGAGAGGCCCACTGCGACCGTTACAGTCAGAATAAATTTTGCCTCCCTCCACACTCTCAACCTCTCTCCCTGCCAATATATGTTAGGTGAATGGACCTCGGAGCAGACAGCAGAAATAAACCTAATGCTTATAAGAAATCTTTTTTTTTTTCCTCTTAAAGAATAACAACAACAAAAATAGAGAACACTGACTTCAGGTACTATTTTTTCCCTTTGCTGTGACTTTCATCTCTACATAATACAGAGAAAGAAAAATTCTTAACATTTTTGTTCTGGTGTTTACAAGGAGACAGAGTAAAGTTCTTCATCTTCTTTTGCTTCATATACTGGTAGTTTTTCCTTCTCTTGCTCATGGTCACTGAGTTCATAAATATACTAATTTGCTGTCAGGAAGAACACGCTTAAATTTTTAAAATGTATGTGTGCCCAAATGAATCTGAAAGCCACATTTCATTGCTCTTTTCCACTGGCCCTAGAACACAAACACACTAGCAAATTATAGATAACTGATGGTTTTCAGAAACAGGAAGTCATATCCTTAGGATTAAGCAATTAAAAACAGACAATTTCAAAAGTAAGCAGTCAAGAGATTTTTCTAACATCTTAACAAGAGCTAGTCAGTAGGACTTAATTAGCTTAAAAAATAGACCCAGTAGTTTTGAGAACTTCCAGTTTCGTCTTCATTTCTGAACCTTCTGAAACCAGCAGGCCAATGTATGATTGATATACTGACATTCAAATTAAATTGAAAAAACATTAGTTACGGCATGCTTGGTAACTCTAGTCAATACTTGTTGCCATGTAAGAAGTGACTTTAATTTATATTAATTAAGACCAAGCCAGTAACTCCCTCTGGATGGCTGCAGGAGCATATTGGGAGTGGTCATTTTCAATACTCAACTGCAAATTCAATTTTGTATTCAGTGGAAAGATCACTGAGAAAGCAGAAAACAATATAAACTAATTTAAATAGGATTTAGATCGCAGCATTATTAAAGCTATTCATGTAGAAAGAAATTAACACTGCTCATAAAAATCACATCAAAGACGCACTTATAAAAATTCTAAATACTTTCTGTGAACATGGTTAGGCATAACTCTGAACATGGGTGCAATTTAGAAATTAGAATGTGCGGATGTGCTTTTTTTCACATTAAGAATTGGGAAAATTGGTATATTATGGCAGGAACATGGACTTTTAACTCATTAAAAATTGCTCAATGTTTTCTATCCTCCTGCATTACCGCAAATGCTTGCATGCTGGTCTTCTTCCTTGATTTGCATTCCCTTCTGACTGTCCCCCACTCCTTTGTTGAACACCCTGGTCCTACCTCCCTACTTTTGTACTTGCTGGGTGCTCAGCTAGGGGCTCTCATACTTCTGGTCCCCCAGCCAGCTCTTATTCTTCCCTCAAGATCCAGCTTTAATGCTCTTCCACAAAAGGACTTTCTTGAGACCCTGGAATGCATAAGGAGCCTCTGCTATGTTTCCTCAATTTGTTGCAGATCACGGGATTAAAGTATTAGTCAAGGCCAGCTGGTGGCACAGTGGTTAAGGTACAGGACTCCCACACTATCAACCACACAGTTCAAGTCCCAGTTCTTGTGGCTTGCTTTCTCACTTTCCCTCTTTCTCTTTCTCTCTCTGTTGAGCACATGTGCCCTATAGCAAATTTTAAAAAATAATAAATAAAATAAAAAATAATAAAGCATTAGTCACTGTATACAGTAATTGATGGTTTAAGGTCTGTCTCTAGTTTTTTTATTTTTTTATTTTTGGAGAGGTTTTTGTTATAGGGTATGTGTGCTCGCCAGAGAGACAGAGAGAGACAGAGAGACAGAAAGCGAGAAATCACCCCCCAGGGGGGATGGCCACGCCTCAATCCTTTCTCCTCCATTCTCCTCTTGGGATCTTGGGCACTCATGCACACACACCCAGCGTGAGTTTAAGCCACCGGGTCTGGGACATGAACTGCGGTCGACTACATGGGAGTCTAGTGACATAGCCATTACGCTAACTGCTGGTCCCAAGTCTGTCTCTAGTTTTGAGGAGCTGATATGAGAATAAAATTTCCAAAACATATTTCAATCTTCTGATTACTCTTAGTTTTTCTCATTACAATTTTAATTTGATTTGTAGTGATTAGTACTATAATAGAAAGCTACCAATTCAGTGGTTAAGAGATAGAGAGCATCACTGTTGATCATCAACATTTTAATTTCATGTTAAAGAGTATTTTCACATATGCTATTACCTACCAGAAACAAATGTTCTCATGTCATGTAAGCTGCCTGGTCTTTTTATTTTTTAGACCTCTGAGGTCATTATTACTGGCAATGAAAATTAAGTGTGAATGTCAGATAATCCCACAGAAACAGAGCTGTCTGCTGTAAGACATTAACCAGCTTATCAAATAATTCAAAAGTATTTTTGAAAGTTTTTTTTAGCATTTTTAATTCTGGGAAGGTAATAACCATTGATTAGCTTTGTGAGGAATATTGTAACAATATTATAATGATTATCTATCATCCCTTAATGTTACCATCTGAGTCCATAACCGGCTCTTTTCATTTCTAGTTATTTCAGACTTCCCTAACTAATCTTCCTCCTTCTCCCTCTCTTCTATGTTTACTAAGCACCTGGCACATAGTAGGTATTAAAAATTGAGAATAGAAGAACCAGCAGATGACATAATGGCTACATCAATGGACTCCACATAGCCGACTGTGGGTCAAGTCCTGGACCCAGCAGCTTAAAATTCATGCCTGGCATGTGTGCATGCATGCCAAAATCCTGAGAGGAAAATGAAGGAGAAGGGATTGTGGCATGGCCATTCCCCTTGGGGGGTGATTTCTTGCTTTCTGTTTCTCTGTCTCTCTGGTGAGTGCACACACCCTATAGCAAAAATCTCTTAAAAAAAAAAAAAGGAAAGAAAAAAAAAAGAAA